GTGGGTGTGGGTGTGGGTGTGGGTGTGAGAGGCAGAGATACTCCAGATGACTTTGGTACAGTCACACACACAGTGACACACACAGTGACATGTACAGTAACAGTGACACACACACCGTGACACACACAGTAACAGTGACACACACACCGTGACACACACAGTAACAGTGACACACACACCGAGACACACACAGTAACAGTGACACACACGATGACAGTGACACACACACACAGTGGCACACACATAATGGCAATGATACACGCAGAGTGACACACACACGCACAGTGACAGTGACACACACACAGTGACAATGCCACACACAGTGACAGTGACACACACACACAGTGACACACACAGACACATGCAGCGACACACACACGCAGTGACAGTGACACACACACACACACACAATGACAGTGACACAGTGACAGTGACAGACACACAGTGACACACACACACACACAGAGTGACTTTGACAGTGACAGGCACACAGTGGGTGACACACACACATACAATGACAGTGACACACACACACACACAGTGACACACACACACAGTGACAGTGACACACACACAGTGACAGTGACATACACACAGTGACACACACACACACACAGAGTGACAGTGACAGTGACACACACACAGTGGCAGTGACACACACACATACAGTGACAGTGCTACACACACAGTGACAGTGACACACACACACACAGAGACAGTGACACACACAGTGACACACACACACACACACACAGTGACAGTGACACACACACACAGTGACACACGCACACACACAGTGACAGTGACACACACACAGTGACAGTGATACACACACACACACAGTGACAGTGACACACACACACACAGTGACACACACACACACATACAGTGACAGTGATACACACACAGTGACAGTGACAGACACACACACACACATACAGTGACAGTGACTGACACTCCCACAGTGACAGTGACACAAACACACACAGTGACAGTGACACACACACACAGTGACACACACACACACACAGTGACACAAACACACAGTGACAGTGACACACACATACACACAGTGACACACACACACACATAGTGACACACACACAATGACAGTGACACACACACACACACACAGTGACAGTGACACACACACACACATACAGTGACACACCCACAGTGACACACACACACACACACATACAGTGACAGTGACACACACACAGTGACAGTGACACACACACACACACACAGAGACAGTGACACACACACACAGAGACAGTGACACACCCACAGTGACAGTGACACACACACACAGTGACACACACAGTGACACACACACACACACACACAGTGACAGTGACACACACACACAGTGACACACGCACACACACAGTGACAGTGACACACACACAGTGACAGTGATACACACACACACACAGTGACAGTGACACACACACACACAGTGACACACACACACACATACAGTGACAGTGATACACACACAGTGACAGTGACAGACACACACACACACATACAGTGACAGTGACTGACACTCCCACAGTGACAGTGACACAAACACACACAGTGACAGTGACACACACACACAGTGACACACACACACACACAGTGACACAAACACACAGTGACAGTGACACACACATACACACAGTGACACACACACACACATAGTGACACACACACAATGACAGTGACACACACACACACACAGTGACAGTGACACACACACACACATACAGTGACACACCCACAGTGACACACACACACACACACATACAGTGACAGTGACACACACACAGTCACAGTGACACACACACACACACAGAGACAGTGACACACACACAGTGACATACACACACAGTGACAGTGACACACACACACACGCAGTGACACACACAGTGACACACACACACAGTGACAGTGACACACACACACAGTGACAGTGACACACACACAGTGACACACACACAGTGACACTGACAGACACACACAGTGAAACACACACACAGTGACACACACACACAGTGACACACACACAGTGACACTGACAGACACACACAGTGAAACACACACAGTGACAGTGACACACACACACAGTGACACACACACAGTGACAGTGACACACACACACAGTGACACACACAGTGACAGTGACACACACACACAGTGACAGTGACACACACACACAGTGACACACACACAGTGACAGTGACACACACACAGTGACAGTGACACACACACACAGTGACACACACAGTGACACACACACACACAGTGACACACACACAGTGACAGTGGCACACACACACAGTGACACACACACACACACACACAGTGACAGTGACACACACACAGTGACACACAATCACAGTGACACACACACACAGTGACAGTGACACACACACACACACACAGTGACACACACACAGTGACAGTGACACACACACAGTGACACACACAGTGACACACACACACACAGTGACAGTGACACACACACACAGTGACACACACACACACAGTGACAGTGACACACACACACAGTGACACACAATCACAGTGACACACACACACAGTGACAGTGACACACACACACACACACACACAGTGACACACACACAGTGACAGTGACACACACACACACACACACACAGTGACAGTGACACACACACACACACACAGTGACAGTGTCACACACACACACACAGTGACAGTGTCACACACACACACAGTGACAGTGACACACACACACACACACAGTGACACACACAGACGTTGCGCTGTGTTCAGACTGAGTGAACCCACATGAGGTGAGAGCCGCGGGACCGCGTCTGTGTGTGTGTGTGACCCCCCCCCTGTGTGTGTGTGTGTGTGTGTGGGTGTGTGTGACCCCCCCCCCCCCCCCGGGGCTGTGTGTGTGTGTGTGTGTGTGGGTGTGTGTGACCCCCTGTGTGTGGGTGTGTGTGACCCCCCCCCCCCGGGGCTGTGTGTGTGTGTGTGGGGGTGTGTGTGACCCCCCCCCCCCCCCCCGGGGCTGTGTGTGTGTGTGTGTGTGTGGGTGTGTGTGACCCCCCCCCCGGGGCTGTGTGTGGGTGTGTGTGTGGGTGTGTGTGACCCCCCCCCCCCCCCCGGGGCTGTGTGTGGGTGTGTGTGTGGGTGTGTGTGACCCCCCCCCCCCCCCGGGGCTGTGTGTGGGTGTGTGTGTGGGTGTGTGTGACCCCCCCCCCCCCCCGGGGCTGTGTGTGGGTGTGTGTGACCCCCCCCCCCGGGGCTGTGTGTGTGTGTGTGTGTGTGGGTGTGTGTGACCCCCCCCCCCCCCCCGGGGCTGTGTGTGTGTGTGTGTGTGTGGGTGTGTGTGACCCCCCCCCCCCCCCGGGGCTGTGTGTGTGTGTGTGTGTGTGGGTGTGTGTGACCCCCCCCCCCGGGGCTGTGTGTGGGTGTGTGTGTGGGTGTGTGTGACCCCCCCCCCCCCGGGGCTGTGTGTGGGTGTGTGTGTGGGTGTGTGTGACCCCCCCCCCCGGGGCTGTGTGTGGGTGTGTGTGTGGGTGTGTGTGACCCCCCCCCCCCCGGGGCTGTTGTTCTAACCTTCGGTTGGAATGAACTGATCCGTTAAATACGATCAGAAAGATTTAAACTGCGGCCCCGGGGGGGGGGGGGGGGGGTCACCCACACACACACACACAGCCCCGGGGGGGGGGGGGGGGTCACACACACACACACACACACCCACACACAGCCCCGGGGGGGGGGGGGGGGTCACACACACAGCCCCGGGGGGGGGGGGGGTCACACACACACACACACACACACCCACACACACAGCCCCAGGGGGAGGGGGGGGGTCACACACACCCACACACACACCCACACACAGCCCCGGGGGGGGGGGGGCACACACACCCACACACACACCCACACACACAGCCCCGGGGGGGGGGGGGGGGTCACACACACCCACACACACCCACACACAGCCCGGGGGGGGGGGGGGGGTCACACACACCCCCACACACACACACACAGCCCCGGGGGGGGGTCAGCCCTGTGTGTCACTGTGTGTGTCACTGTGTGTCACTGTGTGTGTGTATCTGTCAGTCACTGTGACATGTGTCTGTTGCTGTGTGTGTGCGTGTCACTGTGTCTATCGCTGTGTTTGTGTGTCACTGTGTGTGAGACTGTGTCTGTCACTGTGTGCGTGTGTGTGTGTGTGTGTGTGTGACTGTGTCACTGTGTGTGTGTGTGACTGTGTCTGTCACTGTGTGTGTGTGTGTCACTGTGTGTGTGTGTGACTGTGTCTGTCACTGTGTGTGTGTGTGTGTCACTGTGTGTGTGTGACTGTCTGTCACTGTGTGTGTGTCACTGTGTGTGTGTGTGTGTATGTGTGTGACTGTCACTGTGTGTGTGTGTCACTGTGTGTGTGTGTGCGTGTGTGTGTATGTGTGTGACTGTCACTGTGTGTGTGTGTCACTGTGTGTGTGTGTGTGTGTGTGTGTATGTGTGTGACTGTCACTGTGTGTGTGTCACTGTGCGATACAAACGGTGTCTGATACACTATCTGATTGACGGGATCTGATGTACTGATGTTTTTCTGATCAGTGTGGGATGTGTGACCCGCCATCGCCACTCTTACTGCCTCCAAACCAAACCAAACCAAACCGGGAACGCCGTACACCCACCCACACCGGATCTGATACACTGCGCGCGGGGGGGAGCGCTGATCGCCCCCACCCCCCCCCACCACCCCCCCACCCCCTGCAACCTTGTCCTCCCCAAATAATTATCTACGTCTGTTTTAAAAGCTGTTATCGAGTCGGCCCCCACCAGCCTTTCAGGCGATGCGTTCATCATAACTTCCTGACGTTTGTATCCTGTGCCCCTGTTTGTAACGCCCGGTATCCCGTGTGCTTTTTTTCTAACAGCTTTATCTCCCTGTCCTGCCACCTTCAAAGATTTACTTATATAGGTTTCTCGTGTGATCACCGCAGATGGCTGCCGGCCCCGCCCAGCCTCCCTGCTCCTGCGATTCCTTCGTTGCTCTCCCCCCGAGCACCAAAGGCAGGTCGGTGATATTCGGGAAGAATTCGGACCGCTCCCAGGATGAGGTGCAAGAGGTGATTTATTTCGGCTCAGCTACGTATGAGGAAGGCAGCAAGCTGGAGGTGAGCGGTCAACAACAACAACAACAACAACAACAACAACAACGGGGGGTGGGGGTTGGGTGCTGAGCGAGGGAGGGGGAATATGGGAAGGTGATCGTAGGCGCAGTCGAAGAGATGAGCCAGGATTTTTTCCACAAATGACACAGTCAATGTACTTTACAGTAGATACAGTATATTCTGTGAAGTGCTTTGAGATGTCTTGAAGACGGGATAAGGCTCTATATCAAATGCAAGGATTATTATTATTATTTAAAGGTAGACGTGGGGCGCGGGGGGCGGTGGGATAGAGGCAGAGACTTCCAGCGGTCAAGGGAGGAGGGGGACAAAGGCTCAGTCACAGATGGTGGGGGTCGTGTAGCCTGTGTTAGCTGAGTGAAAGGTCTGGGCAGCATAGGTCAGAAAGGCAGGGAGATGCCAGGGCATAAAGGGGTTTGTGTGTATGTGGTGATGATTTTCAAGTTGATCTGTTCCGGAACGTGGAGCCAGTGACGCCTGGCAAGCACAGCAACAACAACTTGCGTTTATGTAGGGAGTAAGGGAGGTGTGATAGCGTGTGGAGCCTGGCGAGCGCTGGGGTGTGTGGTGACACTGACTTTCTTCTGGATGAACTAGTGCACGTACATCGAGATTGAGCAGGCCGCGCAGACGTTTGCGGTGATTATCAGTCGGCCGGCTTGGCTGTGGGGAGCGGAGATGGGGGCCAACGAGCACGGGGTCTGCATTGGCAATGAAGGGGTATGGACCAGAGAGCCCATCAGCGACCGGGAGGCACTGCTGGGGATGGACCTGGTCAGGTAGAGAGCTCCTGAGCTTTGTGATTGTACAACCCTGCGGTCCTATCCTCTGGATCTCCCTCTCTCAACCTTTTCTCCTCCACCACACCCTCTCCCCCCCACCCGTCTCACCCCTTCCACAGGCTAGAAGCCTGTCGTTGGCCGTCCTCTTGTATTTATTATTTAATTAATGGTAAAATAATTTGTGTAATTTGGAGGCGAAACAATTGTTTCCGTTATTACAGTTCGATAGGCAATAATTATACGAAGAGCAACAATCCACTATCGCAAGGAGCAAAAATGTTAGCAACCAGGTTTCAGAGAATAGGTCAGTCACTTTCTCTGGGAGAGCAGCAGACAGCTGAGAGTTGGTCAGATCTGTGTCTCACCGACACTGGCTAAAATACCCTCAATTATACCCCAAAATCGGAATCACATTTGTGCAGTTTCCCACCACAGAAATGCTCCCAGCCTACAGACAGCGAGATGGGTTAACATTCCCACATTCCCAGTTCTGTTCCTTGTACAATAACAAGAAAGCAAGCAATATTTAGTCACCAGTACTTCCACACAGTTAGCAATTTGTCTTAACTCTTTCATTACACTCAAACCCTGCCCTCCATCCATCTTGATCCCAATGCCTGACTGTCCAGTGCCTTGGGATGTCTTCCTGATGTGAAAGTCGCTGTGTAAATGTCATTTGTTGTTATTATTTGGCTAGGCTCGGTCTGGAGAGAGGGTCCAGAGCCGAGGAAGCCATGAAAATCATCGTCTCACTCCTCGAGAAGTATGAGCAGGGGGGCAACTGTGTGGAGGAGCCTCATAACTTCAGCTACCACAACAGCTTCATGATTGTGGACAGGCAGGAGGCCTGGCTCCTGGAGACCGCAGGAAAATACTGGGCAGCGCAGAAAATCACAGGTCAGTGCGGACACGGGCGCAGGAAAGAATCACACGGAATTCAATGACTCGAAGCGTGACGTTTCCTTGTAGATACGTGTGTCGGCCTGGCTCAAGGTTGTGGCAGGCAATTTGTGCACAGCGACATCCCACACACCACCATGGAGTGAGTGAGTGATTTTATCCGGGGGATTGTTGGGCAGGACACCGGGAGAGAGAAATTCACTTTTCTTTTTCAATAGCGCCGCATGAAATCTTTAACATCCACCTGAACAGGTACAGACGGGAACTTGCTTTAACATCTGAAGGACGATGTAGCTCCCTCCACCCCCGCCTCCCACCCCCCCGCCCCGGGCTGTGATGGAGCATCAGCCTAGACCAGTGGTCGCCAACCTTTATGGATAGCCAACAATTATATTTTTATTTATTCAATTTTTCTTCATTTATGGCTGAGCCATGGGTGTCATGGCTCAGTATCTACTGGAACGTTGGACTGAGTTGGGTTGGGCTGGGCTGGACTGGGTTGGGCTGGGTTGGGTTGGGTTGGGCTGGGCTGGGTTGGGTTGGGTTGGGTTGGGCTGGGTTGGGCTGGGTTGGGTTGGGCTGGGTTGGGCTGGGTTGCGCTGGGATGGGCTGGGTTGGGCTGGGTTGGGCTGGGTTGGGTTGGGCTGGGTTGGGCTGGGCTGGGTTGGGCTGGGTTGGGTTGGGTTGGGCTGGGTTGGGCTGGGTGGGCTGGTTGGGTTGGGCTGGGCTGGGCTGGGTGGCTGGGCTGGGCTGGGCTGGGTTGGGCTGGGCGTGGCTGGGTTGGGCTGGGTTGGGCTGGGCTGGGCTGGGTTGGGCTGGGCTGGGTTGGGCTGGGTTGGGTTGGTTGGGTTGGGTGGGCTGGGTGGGTTGGGCTGGGTTGGGCTGGGCTGGGCTGCGTTGGGCTGGGCTGGGCTGGGCTGGGTTGGGCTGGGTTGGGTTGGGCTGGGTTGGGCTGGGCTGGGCTGGGCTGGGTGGGTTGGGTTGGGCTGGGTTGGGCAGGGCGGGCTGGGCTGGGTTGGGCTGGGCTGGGCTGGGCTGGGTTGGGCTGGGCTGGGCTGGGCTGGGTTGGGTTGGGTTGGGCTGGGCTGGGTTGGCTGGGTTGTGTTGGTTTGGGTTGGGCTGGGTTGGTTGGGTTGGGTTGGGCTGGGCTGGGCTGGGCTGGGTTGGGCTGGGTTGGGCTGGGTTGGGTTGGGTTGGGCTGGGTTGGGCTGGGTTGGGTTGGGTTGGGCTGGGTTGGGCTGGGCTGGGTTGGGTTGGGCTGGGCTGGGTTGGGTTGGGCTGGGTTGGGTTGGGTTGGGTTGGGCTGGGCTGGGCTGGGTTGGGCTGGGTTGGGTTGGGCTGGGCTGGGCTGGGTTGGGTTGGGTTGGGTTGGGCTGGGTGGCTGGGTTGGGTTGGGCTGGGTTGGGTTGGGTTGGGCTGGCTGGGTTGGGTTGGGTTGGGTTGGGTTGGGCTGGGTTGGGTTGGGCTGGGCTGGGTTGGCTGGGTTGGGTTGGGTTGGGCTGGGTTGGGCTGGGCTGGGTTGGGTTGGGCTGGGCTGGGTTGGGCTGGGTTGGGCTGGGCTGGGTTGGGCTGGGTTGGGCTGGGTGGGCTGGGCTGGGTTGGGCTGGGTTGGGCTGGGCTGGGTTGGGCTGGGTTGGGCTGGGCTGGGTTGGGTTGGGTTGGGTTGGGTTGGGTTGGGTTGGGTTGGGTTGGTTGGGTTGGGTTGGGTTGGGTTGGGCTGGGTTGGGTTGGGTTGGGTTGGGCTGGGTTGGGTTGGGTTGGGCTGGGTTGGGTTGGGCTGGGTTGGGCTGGGTTGGGCTGGGCTGGGTTGGCTGGGTTGGGTTGGGTTGGGTTGGGCTGGGTTGGGCTGGGCTGGGTTGGGTTGGGCTGGGCTGGGTTGGGCTGGGTTGGGCTGGGCTGGGTTGGGCTGGGTTGGGTTGGGCTGGGTTGGGCTGGGCTGGGTTGGGCTGGGCTGGGCTGGGCTGGGCTGGGTTGGGCTGGGCTGGGTTGGGCTGGGTTGGGCTGGGTTGGGCTGGGTTGGGCTGGGCTGAGCTGGGTTGGGTTGGGCTGGGTTGGGCTGGGCTGGGTTGGGCTGGGTTGGGTTGGGCTGGGCTGGGTTGGCTGGGTTGGGTTGGGTTGGGCTGGGTTGGGCTGGGTTGGGTTGGGCTGGGTTGGGCTGGGCTGGGTTGGGTTGGGCTGGGTTGGGCTGGGTTGGGCTGGGCTGGGCTGGGCTGGGTTGGGCTGGGCTGGGTTGGGCTGGGCTGGGTTGGGCTGGGCTGGGTTGGGTTGGGTTGGGCTGGGCTGGGCTGGGTTGGGTTGGGTTGGGCTGGGCTGGGTTGGGCTGGGTTGGGTTGGGTTGGGCTGAGCTGGTACGGGGGTAGGGGTGGTTGTTGATAGCTGCTTTGTGACACTCCAAGATCATGATCGATCAGTTGGAGACCCCTGCCCAGAATCTGATGTCGGGATGTGAGCCCACAAGCTCCCAGGCGGTTGAGCCAGGCTGACTAAGTAACAGACTTGCACAACCGCTTTGTGAAAGGACGGAGAAAGAGAATAATTCAGTAAAACCTATCTTTATAAATCTTTATGATTTATCTTTATAACAAATTTAACTTACCTTTGTTTCCTCTCAAAACGACTTAGATTTCTTTGCACTACTTGTATTTTACAACCAAATCTCCTAACACTTACCAGCTGCATTGAATTGCAGGAAATGAATTCACCATGACCGCATGCACACTTACAACAACAACAACAACAAGATTCCATTTATAGAGCGCCTTTGACGTCGGGAGGACGTCCCAAGGCGCTGACCACTTACCGTCTGCACTGAAGCAAGCAAGTGAAGTGTAGATTATTGATTACATTTGATTTTATACAAAAATCAGATTTTACTCAAGTTTGCCTGTAATAATCCTTACATTCAATTCATGTTGTAACTCATACTTTGTGTAAGTCATATTAAATGTTATGGTCCTTACTTATATTATTTATGGGAGTTTTACTGTGATTGGTCAACTCTTAGCTTGAGGTTAGAGCACTTGCCTCGCAAGCGGGTTTGATTCATTAGGCAAGTTTCCTGACTCCATATTCCTGTTTAACCAGCAGTAAATAAGAATCTGGTTGTTAGTCGATTGGCGGATTGCTTTTCGGAGGTAATAATCCCTTCAAAAAACACAAGCGAACAGACAGACAGACAGATAAACACATCAATAAATACATCAATACATACTCCAATAAATACACAAATAAATACAATAATAAAACTGGAGTCACTCAATGGACGACTGTTTGAGGAGCACTGCTGTGGTCAATTGGCTGCTGCGTTTTGCCCACAAAATACACAGTCACTCCACTTTACAATATATTCTGTGAAGCGCTTTGAGACATCTCAATGATGCGATAAGGCGCTATATCAAATGCAAGGATTATTATTAGTCTCTGGAGCTCCGCACACATGTCATTGTTTTATTTTGTACTTTACAGAGGGTGTGAAAAATATCTCAAATCAGCTGTCAATCACCACAGACATCACCCTGGAGCACCCTGAGCTGCGGAGCCATGCCCTGAAGCAGGGATGGTGGGATGGACATGACGAGTTTATCTTCTCCCAGGTTTACTCCTCCAAGAAGATGCCCTCGAGCAAACAAACCATGAAGCAGCGATACCTGGCAGGCAAACAGTTGCTGGAGAATCACGAAGGTTCGTCACTCCCAGTGTGTAATACTACTACTACTAATAATAATAATTATAATAATCTCCACATTTCATATGGAGTCTTAAAACCGTATGAAATGCAGGGATTCTTATCATTATTATTATTGTTGGGAGGATGTCGCAAAGCACTTTGTAGGGTTTTACTGTGAAATACAGTATGAATGTGTTAGCGTCCAGAGGGACTTGGGGTGTCCTTGTACACCAATCACAGAAAGTTAGTCTGGAGGTGCAGCAGCAATTAGGAAGGCGAACGGTATGTTAGCATTCATTATGAAAGGATTAGAGTATAAGAGTCGGGAATTCTTGCTGCAACTGTATAGGGCCCTGGTGAGACCACACCTGGAATTCTGCGTCCAGTTTTGGACTCCTTATTTAAGGAAGGATGTACTTGCCTTGGAGGGGGTGCAGTGTAGATTTACTCGGTTAGTACCAGGGATGAAGGGATGAGTTACGAGGATAGGATGACCAATTTGGGCCTATATTCTCTAGAATATAGAAGAATTAGAGGGGATCTTATAGAAACCTATAAGATCATCAAAGGGTATGATAGAGTAGATAGTGGGAGATTGTGTCCCCCGGTTGGAGATACTAAAACCAGGGGTCACAACCTTAAAATCAGAGGCAGCCCTTTCGCACTGAGTTGAGGAAGAACTTCTTCACTCAAAGGGCAGTGAATGTATGGAACTCACTACCCCAAAGGGCTGTTGACGCTCAGTCCTTGAACATATTCAAGACTGACATAGATAGATTTCTTATTGCAAAAAGGATTAAGGGATATGGGATTAAGGTAGAGTCAGGTTATTAGCTGGAGTTAGATTAGAAGATCAGCCATGATTGAATGGTGGGGCAGGCTCGAAGGGCTGAATGGCCTACAACAACAACAACAACAACAAGATTCCATTTATTGAGCGCCTTTCACGTCGGGAGCTGTACAGTTGGGTCAGGACCCGAGCAGGCCTACTCCTGCTCCTACATGTTATGTTATGTTATGTTATGTTATGTTATGTTATGTTATGTTATGTTATGTTATGTTATGTTATGTTATGTTATGTTATGTTATACGGTGTGTTTTGTGGGCAGCCTCTTGCACACGCGAGGTCCCCGAAAAACTTCCTTTCCCGATGGTTGTCAAGCGAAGACCACCCTAAGCATTAGGCCTTTGGCTTGCAGGGTTAAAGGAAGCTGAGTGGGGGGGATTCCCTACCTCTAGTAATTCATGTACCCCTCCAGGTCCTGCCGATATGTTGTCATCAGCAGTGTCCTGAGTACTGTGGACCCATCTGTCTCTAGTTCAGTTCAGTTCCAATGAGACCCTGCTAACCTCCCCCCAGGAAGATAGTCACTTGACATTCGACAAGCGTGGGTTTGAGCCCTCATTAGGTGGATGGCAGTACCAGGAATTCCTACGAGCTTCCCGGTGAGCAACTTAGCTCAGTATGAAATGCGTGAGAGCATTGCCATCATCTTCCTGTCTGCAGCGTCAGGCCCACATCCCTCCCCATTGAGTGATGGTTCCACCAGTTGGGGGTGTGGCGTTTGAGAGGGAGCTACTTGCCTCTCTGCAAACCAAAGCCCCCTCTTTATCTTCAGATCCAACGTCAAGCCCTCTCCCTCCCCCACCACTTTCTCCCTGACTCAGTGTCTACCCCAGCACTGTACAGCGCTCTGAGATGCTAACCCACGCGAAGGGCGTTGAATCAATGTAAATTGTCGTTGTTGCTGAGGGGCCCTGTGTAAATGTGCGTCGTCGTTGTTGTTGATGTTGCCGGTTGAGCCCACTCAGCGCATGTCCCTGTCTAACCGGGTTCCAGCCGGCACGATCGAAGTGGAATCAATGATCGACATCCTACGAGACAAGGATTCGGGGATCTGCATGTGCTCTGGGTCCTATTGCACCACGGGGAGCATGGTATCGCTCCTCCCACGAGATAAGAATCGTCCCTGCATCCATTTCTTCACCGCCACCCCAGACCCCTCCAGGTTAGCCACTCCGCTCGCTGCCAGTCAAATCGTTATTAGCTATAATAATAATAATAACAATAATAAGCCTTGCATTTGATATAGCGCCTAATCACATCGTTGAGACGCCTCAAGGCGCTTCGCGGAATATATTGTAAAGTGTAGTGACTGTGTATTTTCTGGGCGGAACACGGCAGCCAATTGCGCACAATCTGAGACGTCCTCTGGCAATGCTTTACCAGATAGGTGCAAGTTTCCTGACTCCACATGCCTCTGTTTACCCAGCAATAAGTAAGAACCCAGTTGTTAGTCGATTCGCAGATCGCTTTCCACCAATCCCGATAATAAATCCTTCCCCCCCTCCACCCCCCAAAAAATGTTGTCACTCAATCCACATCTGTTTGTGGGACACTGCTGTGTGCAATTGGCTGCCCACAAAAATACACAGTCACTCTACAGTATACCCTGTGAAGCGCTTCCAATGACGTGATAAGGTGCTGTATCAAATGCAAAGACTATATTTTTTATTTCTTACGTCGTTTTGTTTTGCCGTTTGTTGGTGACTTTTCTTGGAGCAGATCCATCTTCAAGCCCTTCGCCTTTGGACAGAACACAGTCCCGGTTCCTATGGTGAAGTCTCCCTCCTTTGGGAGTGAGGATCCAGTCAAACAACACCCTCGCTTCCAGAGCAAACCGGATCGCAGACACGATCTGTACAAAGCCCACGAGAAGGTGCTGACAGACGTGGATGTAAGGGAACCTTACTTTTATTATTTAAATTAATCCAATACAAATTACATTTACACAACGCCTTTCACGTTGGAAGGACTTCCCAAGGCGCTGGTCAGTTAACGATTTGGACTCAAGCTGGGGGTCGGGATCGAGGAGGGTGGAGGGTGGAGGGCAGGGAGGGTAGCAGGGTGGCCCAAGGCTCGGTTGAAGAGGAGTGTTTTGAGACATATCTTGAAGGAGGCGAGGGAGGGGGTGAGGTGAAGGGACTGTGGGATGAATTTTGAATTTTATCCTTTGGGGGATGGGGAGCCAGTGGAGCCGGGCGAGGGTGGGGTGATGTGGTCATGGAGCCTGATGCGGGAGAGAACATGAGCTGCAGAGTTCTGGATAATCTGCAGCTTGTGGAAGGAAAAGCTGGGAAGGCCGACAAGAAAGAAGTTGGGAGTAGTCGAGCCTAGATGTGATGAATGCGAGGATGAGGGTTTCAGCAGCCTGAGCCTCCTCTTCAACCGTGCTTTCGATCTCGCTGCTTTCCCCCCCACCCCGCCCTCCACCCTCCCCCACCCAGACCCCCAGCTCGGGTCCAAAACTCTGTCTGTCCAGCGCCTTGGGACGTCCTCCCGACGGAAAGTATGAGGAAGGTGAGCGAGGCAGGGGGAGGTGGAGGGGCCATGTGTCTGCTTTACCCTCTTACCCTCTTCTCTTCCAGGATAGTCTGAGAGACACTATGAGGCACCTGGAGAAGCAGGGCCTGGATGCCATCATGGCCATGATGAACAGCAATGAGGACCACACTTCCGAGGAACTGATGGACATGTTCTTTGACTGCGTAGAGGCAGAGATGAATCTTTACAAATGAGTTTCTGCTCTCAGGGTACGATCGGTGACGCACATTCACCATCCACCCCCCCCCCCCCCCACCACCCACACACACACACACACATACACCCCATCCCACACATATAAACACCACCCCACACACACACATACAGCCTCCCCACACACATACACTCCATCCTACACACACATACACCTCCCCAGGCACACATACACCCCACACACACACCCCCACCCCACACATACATACACACATATACACCCTCCCCACGTCACACACATCCCCCCACACACACATACACCCCATCCCCCATGCACACCCGCCCCACACACACACCCCCACCCCACACATATATACACACATATACACCCTCCCCACGTCACACACATCCCCCCACACACACATACACCCCATCCCACACATACATGCACCCCACCCCCACCCCACACACAAATACATAAACATACACCCACCACCCCCCCACCACACACACACACCCCCAACCCCGCCACACACACGCTCCCCCCACACACTACTCTCCCACACGCACACATACAACAACAACTTGCATTTATATAGTGCCATCCACGCCAGGCGCAGGGGAGTGTGTGTCTGGGTGGGGGGGGGCAATGTGTTTTTGTGGTGGGAGTGTGTGTTCGGGGTGTATGTGTGGGTGTTGGGGGAATATGTGTGTGGGGGGGAGGTGTCTGTGTGTGTTGGGTGGGGTGTATTTGTGTGTGTGTGTGGTGGGGGGGGGGCTGTATGAGTGTGTGGGGGTGCATGTGTGTGCATGTGGGGGATACTTTTGGGGCGGAGAATGTATGGGGGGAGAGTGTGTGTGTGGGGGTGGAGTGTATGTTGGGGGGTGTGTGGGGTGTATGTGTGCGTGTGGAGGGTAGTGTGTGTGGGGAAGAGTGGGTGTGTGCGCATGTGGGGTGGAGCGCTTAGAACATTCCCCCCCACCCACACACATATCACTCCCCCACCACACACACACTCTCCCCCCACCCAAACACACACTCCCCCACACTCACTAATTCTCCACAAGCACACACATACACCCCCACCCCCCACTCACACCCCCCACACAACACCCCACCCACCCGCACATCACACATACCTCCACACACACATCATACACCACACCAACATAAACATACATACATCCATACCTACACATTACATACACCTACCCTACAACATACATACATACCATCCACACTACATCTACATACAACATACATACCTACATACATTACATACATACATACATACATACATAAAAAAAATAAAAAAAAAAACATACATAATACATAAACATACATACACACACATACATACATACATACATACATACATACATACATACATACATACATACATACATACATACACACATACATACATACATACATACATACATACATACATACATACATACATACATACATACATACATACATACATACATACATACATACATACATCAACATACATACATACATACATACATACATACATACATACATACATAACATACCATACATACATACATACATACATAATAATACATACATACATACATACATACATACATACAACAACACTACATACTACATACATAATACATACATACATACATACATACATACATACATACATACATACATAATACATACATACATAACAACGCTCCCACACACTACCCCCCCACACGCACTCCCCCCACACACAACCATTCCCCCCTCCACATATACACCCCTCCACAAACACGCATACACTCCTCCCACACACACACTCAGCCCACCATACACATACAAACCCCCGCACACACACCTCCTAACACACACTCCCCCTCACACACTCGCCCCACCACACACATTTCCCCCCTCACACACATACACCCGTGCCACACACACACACACTGCCCCCGTGCACACACTCACCCCTCATCCACACATATATGCCCCCGTGCACACCCTCTGCAAACATACCACCACCCCACACAGACATACACACCCCAACACACAGCCCCCACTCCTGCACACACACCCACACACACATACACGCACACACGTGGCCCACACACACCCAAACACACATGCACATTGTTACACAAACTCCCTCCCAACACACTCTCCCCCCCACACACTCCACTCCACACACACATACACTCCCCGCACACACACTACCCCCCACAAGCACTCCACCCACACGCACACCAAAAACACATATATATACACACATGTGTATGCACATATATACACATACACACACATACATATATATACACACACATATATAAACACACACATACATATATATGAACACACACATACACACACATATATATACACATGCGCACACACATACACACATATGTAGATACACACACATATATACACACACATACACACACACATATACACATACATACACATATATACACACACACACATATATACACACAAATACACATATACACCACATATATACACGTACACACACAGACAAATACGTAGAAATATATATACATGCGTATACACACATATAGATATATGCTCATGCGCATATATGTACACACACACATATATATACACACATACACGTATATATATACATAGAAATACACACATATATACACACATATATATAATACACACATACAAATACATACATATACACACACATACACACACATATACACCCATGCATATATATACACACATATACACACATATATATACATATACACACAAATATACACACACATATATACATATATACACATGCACATGCAGACACATAAATACACACTCACATGCACATATATCCACACACACACACATACACTCACACATATATACACACACACAAACATATACACATATATACACGTACACATGTAAAGACATAAGCATAAACACACACACAATCACATACACAAAAACACTCACACAAAAGCATGTGCACACATATACACACAAACACCTATACACACAAACACAATATACACACACACACAATATACACACACACAAAAACATAAATGTACGCACGTGCGCACAGCAGTATTAGCTCCCAGGCTGTCTCAGACCCGCAGCTCTCGAGGTTTCACAGGGATAAGGGGCTGTATTTAATGCAAGTGTTGTTATTACGCAGGAACAGGCGGGCACTTTAAGGGCACAGTCACGTCACTGTACACGGGGTGACACTGGCACTGAAAGGAAAGCAATCCCATCCCATACTGACCCCTCCCCCCCTCTCCCCCTCACCTCCCCACCCACCCAATTCACCTTACCCCTCCCAAAGAAATATGATAAGTCAATCTCACGCCACCGTCACGGCTGTGAGAGAGCGCGAGCAGCGAGGAGCAGCAGCAGGAGGGGCAGGTTTTATTGGCTGTGGACTGAGTGCTGTCTCCAAGATGTTTACGATGCCGTTAACTAAATAAATTGCTACACTGAGGCCGCAGGACTGGGTTTTTATCCCCAGGGGTGTGAATGGTTGACTGTACGAATTTGCTTTTGTGGTCAACCTGACACATGCAGAAACCCATCCCCTACGCGTAAGAGGATCCGAACCAAACTGAGTCTTCCATCCACCCACCTACACCTGCAAATTTGCAAGATGTTTATTGGGACGGAACACGCACTCTCTCCCTGGACGGACGCATCCGGTTTACCTAATTCCAGAGAGTATTCAGTGATGGCTGGTAAGAGCCCCAGAGTGTGCGTTGGGATAAGTGCTGGAGCCTAACCTGCTAAACCACATAGCTTGCCATCAGCTGCCTGCCAGCACTTTGGGAACGTCCTCCCACCGTGAAAGGCACTGTACCAGTGTAATTTGTTTTTGCTATTGGCGAGCTTTACTGCTGCTTGTCCAGCCAGGGCCACCCTACCTGTTTGGGCTTTGGCTTGCAGGGCTAACAGGAGCTGAGTGGGGTGACTTTGGCACCGTGGACCATTCAATCCTCCTCCACCGCCTCTCCTCCCACCTCAACCTCCAAGGTTCTGTCCTTGACTGGTTCAGGTCCTACCTTTCACACCGTCTCCACTTCGTCACAGCAAACAGCTTCTCCTCCAGCCCCCACACCGTCTCGTGCGGTGTTCCTCAGGGCTCTGTGCTCGGTCCCCTCCTCTTCACCCTCTCCATGCTACCCCTCGGTGACATCATCCGCAGACATGGGGTAAATTTCCACATGTATGCGGATGACACCCAACTCTACCTCTCTGCCTCCACCTGAACTCCAGGACTACTGGTGTCCTGACCGACTGCCTGTCCGACATCAAGTCCTGGACGAGGGACAACTTTCTCTAACTCAAGGTCGGCAAGACCGAGGCCCTCCTGATTGGCTCACGCCAGCGCCTCCGCACCTCGGGCACCGGCAGCATCAGCCTCTACGGCTGCACACTCAACCACACTGAGCCAGTCAGGAACCTGGGTGTCTTGTTTGACCCCGAACTGTCCTTTCTCCCCCACATCCGCACCATGACCGGCACTGCCTACCATCGCCTCCGCAACATTGCCAGACTTCGCCACTGCCTCACCCCTCAGGCTGCCCAAACCCTCACCCACACATTCGTCACCTCAAGGCTCGATTATAGGAACTCCCTCCTCATCGGCCTTCCCAACTCTTCCCTTCACAAACTGCAGATCATCCAAAACTCTGCAGCTCGTGTACTCTCACGCACCAGGCTCCGCGACCCCATCACTCCCACCCTCGCCCGACTCCACTGGCTCCCCATCCCCCAGAGGGGGGGTTCAAGATCCTCGTTCTCACTTTCAAGGCCATCCATGGCCTTACCCCGCAGCGCCTTGGGACGTCCTCCCGACGTGAAAGGTGCTCTATAAATGTTATTTTGTGGTTGTTGTTGTTGACTCCCTGCCCCAGTGACTGGTCAGCCCTGGGCTGTGCTGTCACCAGCAGTGAGTGCCCTGGAATACTGAGAACCTGTCTGGCTCAGGAACCGGACTAGAGACTCACAGAGAGTTGGCTCGATTCTGACATTCTGTTACCAAACATTGGAGC